ACAATACACCGATATAATAGTACAAGTAATACTAATTGCTGAAAGCTAGTTCAAAGCCAATCACAACTAATGAATAAATCATGTTAATAATCAATCTGGACACATCTAACGGATTTAGTGTTAAAACGTCATAAACAGTCTGAAGAAACAACCAGTCCCGACAGTTATGTAGGATTATAAGTATTTATAGCTATACATACATAACAAAATTTATTTCGTTACGTTTAATTTTTTTTTTTCAAAAACAAAATAAATGACTGATGCATGTGTAGATTTTAAAGTTTATATGTGTGTATTGGCCCTGTGAATTGTTTTGTCTTAGATATACTGTATTGTCATGTGTTTTTGATTGAAAACCTCCTCAATACTTTGTTGTTTTAAAATGCTGGACATCAACTTTAAACAAAAAAAAATTAAACTTAAAAAGGGAATTTGGGTAGGGTGGAAATTCAAAAGGGGGGAACTATATCAAAAGTCCCGAATTGCTTCCAGGTCTAGTTTGATCTTTCTATACATTATTTAAAGATTCTAATAGTAACAAATTATTTAATAACTGTAACTGACTAGTTTAATAATGTGTGCTCTAAACTGTAAGTGTCTGTAAGAGAAGTCAGAAGAAGGGACCACCTTTCAAAATGTCATAAAAATACAATATAATTATATTAACAAATTGCAATTGTACTTAAGAGTGGGACATAGTGGGTACATAAGAGGGCTATAAGGCATAATTAAGTTCTTGTCCCAGAAATCAAGATGGTAGCAATATCATTAAAAGAAAGTTTTACATTTATAACTCATTACGAAATAGAACACAAGGAAGGCACGTTTATTATTCAAAAGATAGCTATTCAAGATTATCAAATTTCTCTTGTAGCAATATAAAAATCAAGACTTAGATAAAGACCATTCAAATAAGAGTGTAAAACAGTATAAAAGCATATGATAAAATTTTAGATATGAGAGAGAATTTGGACCTTGTAAATATATGGAAAGCAACAATTCATGATACTAACATATTTTCATACCAGAGTCGCCAAGATTACTTTTAAATTTCTACTGATTTTAAATCAATTTTTCAAAAATGTAGATATGGATAAAAGTTAAAGATTCGACCATTCACAAATGTACATGACAATGTCTTACAAAATAAAGAGGTAACGTCACATTGGAACAAAAAAATAGCTTATAACACTATACGGCACATGTTACTGAAATAAACAAAAATGAAGAAGGGAAACAATAAATCAATACTCTTTGGTCTGTGACTACATAGGTAACGAACTATCCATAAACCAACACATGTTTTGGAACTTGTAAAATATATGATTCTAAGAGAAACAATAGCATATGCAGGTCATATAAACAAAGACAGAAACACTGAAACTGATCCCAAAAGTAAGGTAACTAAATTACGCGCAAGTTATTAAACATATCCTTCAAATTCACTAAATTTAGAAACTAATATGCTACATGTAGAAAAGAACCTGTAGAACAAAGGGAGACAAAAGGAACAGTTAAAATGACCAGAGCAAAGTCAAGATTTGTAGAGACAGGTGATAAATGAACGAACTGTTTTCGTTATCTAGGAAAAAAATATAAGTTATAGATATAATTTTAATATTTTAAGGTGTTTCTTGTCGTATAACACACCGAGGGGTGTCAGGATTAATCAAATGAAAGACCGACCGTAGTATATACCGTCATAAAATAGTATTTTCTGCAAAGATTTCCAGGAATTGTATCCTATTTTAGCGATCACATTGAAGTGGGATATTCTTTTCCTAAACGTTTAGGTAAAACAACGCCCAACGGCTCACTTTTGATGTGAAATAACCCTCACTAATGAATCTCGATATAAACGTTAAAAATTACTGTCCATTTTCAATATATATGTTATAGTAATACCATGAAGCAAGAAGCAACTGAGTTGTTAAGACGTACGAAAAAAACCGGTCACTTTGTGAATTATTTATCGTATAATCTATATAAAAGGAGGTGCTATTTTTTTTCTCTTGTTTCATGACATTATTATCGTGGACAAGCATATTATTTTTTTCACAATTTTGAAAGAACTTTTCAGAATAATTATTTTTTCTCTATTTTGTCTGGCAATACGTTTCTTTCTTCTTCAAAACATGAGAATCAGGAAAAATATTATAGCCCCTCCCCTTTTTTTTTAAAGAACGTTGCTGTTTCCCTGTGGAAAATAGGATTTTTTTGTCATTTCATAGAGTAAATGGTATGTATTTGAGCCTAATACACGGAGGAGAGAATAGCTTCTGCCTAAACTTTTTAAAAGTGTTAAAGATAGAAAATTGTACAATAAAACCCAATTTGCAACAATACACGGATTGAATGTTTTAGTACTCTGCAGTTTGCATTTTAATCAGGGAAAACAATGACCTGACGCAGGTCAAAATTTAATGCCTTGAAGCACATTACATTGAAACTTGGTATCGTCCAGGTTGTTTTTTCAAAAGAATGACCTGTCGTTCTGAAAGGAAATAACTCCATATACTAGGTATATAATGAGAAAATAATTCTATGAGTTTTTGATAATTGGTATATTATTCTTAATTGACATGCCAATTTAAAAGAGCATCAATCATTTGATGAAAGCATTGAACTCTTAAACCAATATAATTTTGCAGCATAAACATACAAAAAATTTACATACAAACTACTATATCCCCAATTTGACGGGAATGAGCAATCTGTAGAAATATTTTTAGAAATTATCTTAGTGTATGGATTAAGGGATAAAAAAATGATATAGATACCAAAGGGACATTCAAAACTCATGATGCATTTTATCAGTAAGTATTTAGCAAATAAATTTAGTGATCCTTTTTGGCTATTTTATAATCATTAACTTACATCCTTATTTAAAAAGGCACAAAATACAAAGTGGACATTCAAATTTCATAAGTCGAAAAAAACGCCAGGGCAAAAATGTAAAACAACAAAAAGACGAACAAGTCCATAAAACATTACATAGGAAACTAAAGATCTTTAAAACACGTTACCCACTAACACAGAGGTGAATTCATGTGCCCTGGCAAATGAATTCCATGCAAGTAGAAATCCAGTTATAAATCTTATTCGATTATGTCACAATCGAGGGACAGATATTTCACAGCGATTAACCAACTCATGATGGTTTCCGGAAATGTTTGAAGGTATGCTCAACTTTACTTTTGTAGCCCTTTCATTTATTAGCTTCCCTAAAACAGCATCCATCTTTATATGGTAACTTAGATAAAACTGAAGCCATATGGATTTGTTTACACAGTTTTGGCTGCTGAATCCTAACTATTGTTGCATTAACCAATTATGTCTGTCTCGGTTGCTTACCAAATTTTGTCAATATAACTGAACTTTAAACCACTGTCATACAAGTGTGAGGTTAAGCTAGCTATAAAACAAGCTTTAACCCGCCATTTTCTTTCTTCGGAAATGCCTGTACCAAGTCAGTATTATGATAGTTGTTTTCAACTAGTTTTGTTTGTTGATAACGTTTAATTTTGAATTTGTCATGGACTTTGGTATTTTTGTTATACTTTTTTAATTGGAACTGCTCGTGGAAAAAAAACCCGATTTCTACATGATTGAATAGACATTTAGCTTTACTGGAATATCCTTAATATTGTCACTAGGTATACTGCTGCAAGGATCATTAAATATTCGTAATGGCTTAACAATAATATGAAATAACTAATGAAACTCTCTTCAACCAGAATTGGTAGGAATCAAGCTTGTTCTTTATTAATCAATTCCTTAAAAAGAACGGTGAATTATTGACTGCTTGAATTCTAGGGAAAAAAGAACATTCAAAATAATTTCCTTTTGTAAAATTCCATAACACATATGATACAGAGAGATCTGATCACTGTTTCAGAGAAAAAAAAATCCTGGTACCTTTAATTGGGTTTTACAACTAATGGGTCAATGACACTGTTGGTGGAAAAATCGTCTCCGAGGGTACCACCAAGCCAGAAGTTAGAAATGTTTACTTGAAATGTCATTAACACGTTTATATTATGTAAAAATTGTTTATTGATTCGAAACACTAAGGTTTAAAGATGAAAAGTAGGAGTAAAACCATAATAACACATTAAATATGGATGTTTTGTTAGAAATAAGCGCTATAGAATGTAGGGAGTAGCTCTATTTACATCAAATCTTGAGAGGTTTGAGATAATTAAGCTATAAACAAGTAGATAAAACATAGAAATTAATCTAGGTATGAGTAGTTTGCTTTACCTACAGCGTACCTTTCTGTCTTTTGTTTCAAATATGCATATACACACGAATATTGTTTAGATATAATATAAATAACCATCCAAGTACTAAGCATTAATGACGAATCTTTTTCTATATCACAAAGGAAATTCATAGATAGTATTGAATGTTACTGTTGATTCATTTATTTTCGTGAGTACCAATTTTTATGGATTAAGGAAAACTTACATGTTCATGGATATTTGATTTCGTGGTTTTGCCGATGTCTGCATACAAGCCTATAGCAAATTTGTCATTCGTTGAACATTTAATTTTGTGGTTCACCTGTACCCACGAAATCCACGAAAATTGGTTTCCAACAAATAATAATGAATCCAAAGGACTACACTATGGCAATGTTTTTGGCGCTCGTAGTACTTGTGGGTCAGTTGCGACTTAAGGAAAGCAACTTATGTTGAAGATGTGTACGATTATGTGAGATTGATCCGTATCCATCAAAGGGCAAAATAATGATATAAGCCAGGATATTTTTCTTTAGATTTATCACATATTACAATAAAAATATTTGTATTGTCAGTTTGTTTTCGACTTATGTGTTTGAATTTCCCTTTTTTCGTATCTTTCGCCTCTCTTTTCTAAAATGGTAGTGTTGAATTTGAGAATGCAATACAGATTAATAAAAATGATAAAAGCCTTTTTACTTGATATTTTCTTGTCATTTTTCTTCAGATTTTGAAGGTTTTTCTTTCTAATTGTAGGTAAAACTTCAACTCTCTTGACTTGCATAGTGATATTAATAACAATGATGATTGGGTAAGTACTTTTCAAAAGTAGTGTTTACTGATATGCTAACTGATTTTTTTTTCGAAAGCATAATTTTAAGTAATTAAAACAGACCAATTTCAGACCAGTCACATATTTTCTGATACAAAATGCAATTGTTTGTCCTTATTCAAGAATTCCAAGTTGACTGAAAGTTCTGAATTGTTAAGAAGTATTAGAATTCAAAATCCAGTATAGATTAATAAAAAAAAACTTTTATTGATATAGTAATACGATCAAAGTATTTTTATAACAAATTCTGACATAATTTTTTTTTTGTTGGAAGCAGAGTTTCAGGTAGTTTTATTAAAGGGAAAAATTGATATTATGTTCATTACGTATAAAAAAGCACAAATTCATAAATATTAATGTTTTATTCTGCTAGATAAGAGATCACCATCGATTTTAAATTGAGAGAATCAATTCTCTACATGTATCCATCTTGACAGCTTCCCGATTTAAGAAACCACGTGATATCTATAAAACACAAAGGACCAAAACAAGCAGAAACTAACGTAGTCGTAATTGAGTGTCTTGTCAAGCGTACGGTTGTTTTATCCGACAAGGAAATGACAAATTAAAAGCATAAACAGTTTCCCGGGTCACAAAAATTATTATATCAGACATGGTTGTGCACCCTTCCCTAAATAGCTTGATACGGAAAAATATTGAATATAAAGGTTTAAGAGTCGGAAAAGTCGGCCGATTGGATATCTATTTTTTTTTAAATAACTATGGTCTGTCGTTTTTAAATTGGTTTTTTACTAGGTATATAAAAAAGTAAATATATAGGGGAATTAGTTAAGGTCAATTACGTTTACGGATTCTCTCAAAGTTCAAAATTATAATTAAGTCTACCTTGTAAAATTTTTTTCGAAAATCAAATTTGTTCATAATTCTTTTATGTAATAAACTTATTCAAATAAATTCGGACATTCCCTTATTTGATCACCAGCATGGCTAAAGGAATTATTCCTCGAGGTATTGTGAGGTGACACGTCCAGGTATCCAAGCGATTTACTGTCGGGCTTGACAACTCTTATTACACAATTACATAATGCAGGTTCATGCATCGCTTCACTTCTGAGGGTATCAGTGTATACGGCCGGTAACTTGTAACTTTTCATTTAAAAACTATCAGGTGTAATATACATCATGTGTACATATTGTTTGTCTTGAGTCAGACAGTGATATACTAGTCATTACTAAACTCTTACGTGTATACACATTTGTTTATAAATAACATTTCTGATGTAAAGAATGATATTTATGAAAATCTAAATAATTCCAGCAAAAGATTTGATGAAATTAAAATCTAATTACATATTTTCCAAGGGTAAAATTGGGAAAAATGTAAAATGTATACTCGTTGTCAATAAGTATGGACATTTTGAAACATACAAATATTAATTTCACAAAAAATGTACGCACATTTGGTTTATACAGCTAGATGAAAAGTTACGGAACTATACTATTAGATAGTCGCAATTTAAAATATATACGTTGAATATAAGAGAGAAACATCTAGAACCAATCTAATTTAAATTCAGATCAATATCTAACTTGCTTTGGTTGGTCGAAGTTATGAACATAGTAAAATCACAGATTTATATTTCAATTAGATTGTTCTCGTACAGTTTAAGAAATTCGTCATCACAATTGTTAGCTATTATGTATAATAATGTGAACATGGTTCTAATAATACCTATTGTCAATCTTCCTGTTCCGACATGCATGTTATATATGCCACTGGACGTACAAAAACCTATTTGAAGAAATAAATAAACTTCACTTCAGATAGACTGATAGTAGTTGTAATAACGTCTGATCACCTAGAGGGTTGATTAATTTATTTGGTTAGCTTGTGGGGGAATAAACCATTCCCAATATTGCACTTATGCATTAAATATTAAATGAGAGAATAAGAAAAATATAAATACTAAAAGTCGAACATCTGGTAGAAAAAGTCTCAATAACTTCATGATTTCACGTACAATTGTCATTCTTATTCGAAATGACGGACAGAGTCAATAAAATACGTGCATGTACGCTGCGATAAGAAGGGGTTATTCAACTCCCTAGAAAATGTGTATGTACCACAGTTGATAGTATTCATCATTAATCTATTTCAAGTTTATATTTTCCTGTCATTTTTATAAGTTAACGCAAAGACATGTATACATCTCTACATTTAACGACAATCAACTATTTAGATATCTGAATCTGATGTGACTTACCGTTCATCTCTTCCTTTTTTCTTCTTTTTTTGTTGGTTGGTTGGTTGGTTTGGGATGGGGGGGGGGGGGGTTAAATGATTTACCTTGACATTTCCGGGTATTAGAGCTACATGTATATTACCTGTATGTGGTTAGGTGACGTCCCATGAGGTCTTACATATATAGGTTCACATTTATAATGGTGTTCATTACATATTTCTGATATAACAAGGTTTTATGACATTCACACTTCTGCATGTTCTGTATATCAAATTCATATCTTATTTTCAGACCGAATGAGGATGAGAATATTTTCCAGGAAACATATTGAGTATTAAATTAAATTCGGTATTTTTTTCTTTCTTGGTATTAAATCACAGAAATTTAAAGAATATACTGCTTGTCCGCTTTAGGAGTATTCTTGTCAGTTTAGACAGAGACATATATGTGTGTATATACGTCTCTGGTTTAGAGTGGGTTTATGAATGAATGATAAGTCTTGCAAAGGTACAAGATATAAAGCACATTAAAAATCTTATTCCTCCGGTCTGTCTCCATTCTAATAAGGAAAAGAGGACGTTAATTTCATTCTGTTAATTTTTTAAACATCTTTGGTCAAATTATAGCTAAAGTATTTATACGTTGTGAGATTTAAAATATTCTAATAAGGGCATTCCCGATTAGGTAAATGAAAATCGCTTTGGACGGACCAAAATATATTAATGCAACTGATAATTTTCTCTGCACATTTAAATATTCAAGGTAACCGATGATAATTTATAATAGTACGTTTTTTGGTTTATACGCTCGTTTTTGGAGGCCATTTTTATTTCATTGTTACAACATATCATTCACCTAGTATTTATTTAAAACTGAGGTAAACAAAATATAAAAAAATATACCACGGCGATTCAGGTATTTGCCACCATATTCCTCCCCCAAACATTTTGTTTTCTGTCTCAAACTCGCACTTCTCTTTTATCATCCATACGAGATGTTGTTCACACCTGAAACGGTGAACCCTTGAGGCAAAAATACACTCCAGTGAAGATCAAAAGATCAGAATTACATAATGCTAATCTTATTGTGAATTTAACCACGCCTTTACCAGGTAGTGTCAGAGTATAATACACATTGTATTTACACAGTACCAACGGGAAATGTTTGCTAGACTGAATTGAGAAACATGCATGCATTTTTATTACATTATCAGTTATATGTGTTTGTTCAAGAAATCCGTCGGATAAAAAAAATCGCAAAAATATTTTATCGTATGATTTACTTTTATTACTATAATCATATCTGAAATCCATAAAATATAAATCGTACATTTCAATTTAAAAAGTTGCACGGCTGATCACTTTACTTTCTTAATTATTAGTTGGTTAATAGCTACGCAGAATAGTCATCGAGGCGCTTTAAATCGCGTTATTAGATGATTAACGAACAAGACTTAAAATAAGATTAATTTCACTCCCGACATGCAATTAGTCTAAAAGTACATCACAGTAGACAGGAAGTTCGAATAAATAAAATTAATAATTTCCAATGTTCTTCTTTATTAGTGTTCATTTCCAGATAAAACTTGGTGAATATGTTTTTTATGTTATTATGAACATGATAAGATGATAAGTACAAAATCGCGAATTTTTCCTTTAGGCCAACAGTTGTTAAACGATATTCAAATCTCAAAAATTGATTACAACAAGACTAATCAAGGCAACAATCACACATTGAGGAATCAAATAGACTCCAATAGGAGCGAGACACGATGCTTGGAGAGGATAAGCGTCTCCTGCAATGCGTGCTTTACTCGCCATGCAAATTCAAACTCAGGCAATATTCACATTATTCGGCAATAGAATACAACCAGTGCAATTACAGATCAGAAGACTTTACTGTTATCTAAAGATAAAAGATCACTAAAATATTCCGCTAGGGAGTTGAAAACCGACATATCGAATCAGTCAACCGATTCGTGATGATGACCGTAAAACTTAAGGACTGTCGATTTCAGCCGTTCGTCCTCATAACTCTTTTCTGACTGTTTTCTATTTGTGCAAAAAGCACAACCCTTATAATAACGTATGTATAGTGCGAACATACACACGAGCATAACGTATTCATCGAGATACGATAAACGTAGTACGATGGATCAGAGGGTATGTTTCTGCTGAGAAAAGGGATATTGACAATTGGAAATGTGAACTCATCCCGTTTGTCATATATTCTGGTTTGAACTCGTCTATCAGTGTTAATAACGAAGTTACGATCATGGTATGAAGCAGGCATACTTTCGATAGTATCCTTAATCTGAAGTTCACTTGGATATATGAGATGTAAGCTCTCATTGAAATATGAGCTATTGACTGACAGAATTGATTGATTGAGTGTTGATGTTTAACGCAACTTTTGGTAAGTTTTTATTGAGGAAGTAAGCCAGTCTGCCCAGAGAGAACAACAGACCTTTGATTTTAGCGTGCCAGAACATTAGTAGTGAAAAAATAAAGAACTTTGGGGCTATTGCGGTTTTCTTTGAGAAAATTATTTGTGAATTTTCTTCAAATGAGTACAAAAAAGCCGACTAGTAGTGGCGTACAATTAATAACCATCGAAATACAGACTGTCTACTGAAATATCGATACACTAAACTCAACAAATATGTTGTCAATCATAATTTTAACATGTTTAATGAAATAATCTGTTTCTTTGTTGTGGGAATCCGTGTGGTTCTTTTGAATGCCATAAATCGAGGAATAATGAACACGTATCTAT